CCCCAAAACCCCAAAACCCCAAAACCCCAAAACCCCAAAACCCCTTATTTGAAGCATGATATTGAAATGAGTAAATTATCACAACAGCCTTTTATTTAGTTATCGAGGGAGTGAGAAGTTCACCGAAAGCTTCTTTTTGTTTCGGTATGGGTGATGAATTCCTCTTCTTAAGCCATCTTTCCTGGAAAATTCGGCAAAACTTGAGGTGATCTTTCTCCCTTCTGATTCTTCAAATCTGACCCTTTTACCTATATCATACATTGAATTTCTGATGTTAACACTAATCCCAGCAATCTAAGCCTCTCTAAATTACCACTCCTGCAACACTCTTTTCAAAAACAGATTCAAGCCCAATTCCCTTTCATACCTCTCTTCACACCAAATTCAGGAATATTATTCCTGAGGAAATCCTTTGTGATATTTCAACTGACCCTGACTTTATTAGAAAAAGACTCTTGAAGAAATTCCGAAATTTTAGGTGACCCAAGTTTGGTCAATTTTGGAAAGAACTTCTCATTTCTTCCTTTGCTTAATGGCGGTGATGCTGCTGGGTTGGAGCAAGAGTCAGAGTAATCCTTGTTATAGATGATATCAAGGATATTAGAAGTCTGCCGGCTTCTTCTTTTAAGAAGATCATTGATTTTACTTCTACTAGGGTTCTGAAAGTTTAAACAAACACTCACATTGATGTTGGTTATCTTAATTCCAGGTTTAGAAGAGGACTGGATCACCATTTCTTCATCTAAGTGGTAAATCAAGAGCATGTTACCTTGAGAATTTAAGATTTTAAGCTTGCTTTCCCTTGATTGGTACCTTTCTCTTGATTCTTGTCTTTTTTGAATAAAACTTTTATCGATTCGAGGTAGTTGCATACTCTCATTTTCAGCACTTAAGTTATTAAATCGCTCTAATTATTAGACTTGTTAAAAAATATAAAAAGAAAAATTTACTCTTATTTCTGCTCATAAATGCCTTAAGAAGTTTCCTCGCATAACCCGGCTGAGGCGATCCTCGATTATTTTTAATCCTTGTACTCCTACCAAACTCCATTCCTAAATTATTTTCTATAAACTTACCCATAACAGGGGTTTTGGGGTTTTGGGGTTTTGGGGAGTTCG